TTTCTCATGTAATATCATAAATCGTCGTATAACTTTCTTATCTAACATAACTGGGTACTGAATAATCTCAGATTAATATCATTAAATCGCCATTATGAACATTCTTTTTCTAACGTAACTGAGTACTGAATAATCTCAGATTAATTATCATTAAATCGTCGTTATAAAGTTCTTTATCTAACATAACTGGGTACTGAATAATCTCAGATTAATTATCATTAAATCGTCATTATTAAAGTTCGTTTTCTAACGTAACTGGGTACTGAATAATCTCAGAATAATTATCATTAAATCGCCATTATTAACGTTCTTATTCTAACGTAACTGAGTACTGAATAATCTCAAATTAATTATCATTAAATCGCCATTATTAACGTTCTTTATCTAACGTAACTGGGTTCTGAATAATCTCAGATTAATTATCATTAAATTGCCATTATTAAAGTTTGTTTTCTAACGTAACTGGGTACAGAATAATCTCAGATTAATTAACATTAAATTACCATTATTAACGTTCTTTATCTAACGTAACTGGGTTCTGAATAATCTCAGAATAATTAACATTAAATTACCATTATTAACGTTATTTTTCTAACGTAACTGAGTAATGAATAGTCTTAGATTAATTATCATTAAATCGTCGTTATAAACGTTCTTTATCTAACGTAACTGGTACTGAATAATCTCAGATTAATTATCATTAAATCGTCGTTATAACGTTCTTTATCTAACGTAACTGGGTACTGAATAATCTCAGGTTAATTATCATTAAATCGTCGTTAGAACGTTCTTTATCTAACGTAACTGGGTACTGAATAATGTCAGATTAATTATCATTAAATCGTCGTTATAACGTTCTTTTTCTACCGTAACTGGGTACTGAATTATCTCAGATTAATTATCATTAAATCGTCGTTATCAACGTTCTTTATCTAACGTAACTGGGTACTGAATAATCTCAGATTAATTATTATTAAATCGTCGTTATCAACGTTCTTTTTCTATCCTAACCTTGTACTGAACAATCTCAGGTTAATTATCATTAAATCGTCGTTATAACGTTCTTTATCTAACGTAACTGGGTACTGAATGATCTTAGGTTAATTATCATTAAATCGTCGTTATAACGTTCTTTATCTAACGTAACTGGTTACTGAATTATCTCAGATTAATTATTATTAAATCGTCGTTATCAACGTTCTTTTTCTATCCTAACCTTGTACTGAACAATCTTAGGTTAATTATCATTAAATCGTCGTTATAACGTTCTTTATCTAACGTAACTGGGTACTGGATGATCTTAGGTTAATTATCATTAAATCGTCGTTATAACGTTCCTTATCTAACGTAACTGGGTACTGAATGATCTTAGGTTAATTATCATTAAATCGTCGTTATAACGTTCTTTATCTAACGTAACTGGGTACTGAATTATCTCAGATTAATTATTATTAAATCGTCGTTATCAACGTTCTTTTTCTATCCTAACCTTGTACTGAACAATCTCAGGTTAATTATCATTAAATCGTCGTTATAACGTTCTTTATCTAACGTAACTGGGTACTGAATGATCTTAGGTTAATTATCATTAAATCGTCGTTATAACGTTCTTTATCTAACGTAACTGGGTACTGAATTATCTCAGATTAATTATTATTAAATCGTCGTTATCAACGTTCTTTTTCTGTCCTAACCTTGTACTGAATAATCTCAGATTAATTATCATTAAATCGTCGTTATAAACGTTCTTTATCTAACGTAACTGGTACTGAATAATCTCAGATTAATTATCATTAAATCGTCGTTATAACGTTCTTTATCTAACGTAACTGGGTACTGAATAATCTCAGGTTAATTATCATTAAATCGTCGTTAGAACGTTCTTTATCTAACGTAACTGGGTACTGAATAATGTCAGATTAATTATTATTAAATCGTCGTGATAACGTTCTTTTTCTACCGTAACTGGGTACTGAATTATCTCAGGTTAATTATTATTAAATCGTCGTTATAACGTTTTTTTATCTAACGTAACTGGGTTCTGAATAATCTCAGATTATTTATCATTAAATCGTCGTTATCAACGTTCTTTATCTAACGTAACTGGGTACTGAATAATCTCAGATTAATTATCATTAAATCGTCATTATTAACGTTCTTTATCTAACGTAACTGAGTACTGAATAATCTCAGGTTAATTATCATTAAATCGTCGTTAGAACGTTCTTTATCTAACGTAACTGGGTACTGAATAATCTCAGATTAATTATCATTAAATCGTCGTTATAACGTTCTTTTTCTACCGTAATTGGGTACTGAATTATCTCAGGTTAATTATTATTAAATCGTCGTTATAACGTTCTTTATCTAACGTAACTGGGTACTGAATTATCTCAGGTTAATTATTATTAAATTGTCGTTATAACGTTCTTTATCTACCGTAACTGGGTACTGAATTATCTCAGGTTAATTATTATTAAATCGTCGTTATAACGTTCTTTATCTAACGTAACTGGGTACTGAATTATCTCAGGTTAATTATTATTAAATCGTCGTTATAACGTTCTTTATCTAACGTAACTGGGTACTGAATTATCTCAGGTTAATTATTATTAAATTGTCGTT